ACCCAGTCACACGACTGGCAAGCCACTCTCACCCGGTTACATGGCCAGCAAGCCACTTCCACCCAGTCACATGGCCGGCAAGCCACTCCCACAAAGCGGGCCACACCTACAGAAGAGGGTGTAAAATTTTTTGAAACCCATCACTGGTCCAGCTGCACTAGATATGTATAGATATGAAACAAGATCCTTAATCCTTACTGTAGGACCATTATTCTTATGCAGGTACAAGCCATGCATGATTACGCAGCTACTGACAATGATGAATTGCAGTTGAAGGCTGGAGATGTGGTCTTGGTGACTCCATTTGAAAACCCAGATGAGCAGGTATGGTATTAATGCAATAGGTGTGTCTCATAACTAATAAGGTTGGTAAATCCTGCAATGGTCCAGTTTCAAGATTTCAGATCAAATCTGCTTTCTGCTTTCTGCAATGAAGCATGCTATGTGACCTTCAGCAAGTCAAACCTTTCAGTTTACTCTCTTGATAGACAAGATAATGAATAAATCTCCTTTTCTTCAAATAGTAGGTTATTTCTTTAAAATGATGATTTCTTATGTGGAAGCAAATATTGCATGAGAAGGATGTGATTTAAATAGAGATGTAAAGTATAAGGAGATGAATATTGATTATTGAATTTCCTAATCCAATCCAATATCCAACTAAGGAGGTTATCCTTGTTTAGTGTTACTTTTTAAATTATACTGTCTATAACTATTACTCTGTAATATTAGGTTTACCTAATTAGATCAGAAGGCAATCAGAATACTACAGTGGAGTATTGCCCTTGCAACCAGCAACATATTTTCTAATTATTAAGAAAAGGACTTCTTAACTTAAATTCAAGGTAATTTAATTTACCTTTAAAAAAGTGAATTGAACCCACTATTGTACTCTCTGCTTTTTTTGATTTCATATTTGCTTTTTATTCCCCTGTTTGCCCTACAAATGTCTAAAAATTGTGATGGTGGCTATCAATTTTTTTGTCTGCCTTGTTCATGCTCTTTTTGAATGCCAGTAGATGGCACTGTGTTCTTATAGTTCTTTATTGCATCCACTCATTTTTGTAAAGAGAGTGAGTTGAAAATAGAAATGTTTCTTAGCCACTTGTACATTTTGTTTGCATGTTTTTTTCCTCCTTGGGAACATTAGCATTGCATCAAACATAAACAAAGGATGCCTCTTCTGTAGAAAGCTTCCTCTAGATTTGGAACCTTTTCTCCAGTTCTCTGAGTAACTGTGCACATAGGGTCACTTCTGTTTGCTTGCATTCTATAGGAGAAAATCAGGCTGAGCTGGAAAGCGGGGTTAAATGTGTCATCAGTTTGGAATCATTGCATTGTCACAAGAAACCTAAGACCACCACCCCCCTCACAAATTCTGTTGACCCATATATAGCACCAATTTAATTTTGACCATTAGTTGACGATATTCTTTTATTAGAGGTAGGTCTTCTGTGCTTTGAACTCTACTTTACCCAAATGCTTGCTGGACAGCATTGCTGCCCCCTTCCTTCCAGCAGTTATGAGTTGCAGTATTCTCCAGAAACTATGGAGGCAAAGTCAGGAACACTTTGGAGAGAGGCAGTGGGTTTTGATGGTAGAAATATCAGGAAATACTTTGATGAGGTCAATACTCCCACTAGAGCCAAGTGGGGGAGAATTGGCTGCTGTGGAAGATTGTTTTCTCTCTAGAAACCAAAGGATAAATGTTCTTGGCAGCACAGAACTCTATGGCTAGATGGAAGGAAGCAGTCCTGCAGCTGGCCAGTTGGTCATCAACCTGCTTCAGCCTTCCCTTTCATTCATTGATGAACTGATGCATAGAAAAGGTTTCCACTGTTTTTCCAGTTTGTTGCTGGATCCATTCTCAATGTACTTAAGCTGCTGGTTGGCTCTGAGATTGAGCTCCCATATAAGGGCAAATCCACAATGACTGGCAGGTCAGAACCTATATATAGGTGAAACTTGAAAAATTAGAATATGATGCAAAAGTTCATTTATTTCAGCAATGCAACTTAAAAGGTGAAACTAATATATGAGATAAGACTCATTACATGCAAAGCAAGATAGTTCACCCATGATTTGCCACAATTGTGAAGATTATGGCTTACAGCTCATGAAAACCCCAAATCCACAATCTCAGAAAATTAGAACATTACATGCAAT